AAGTAAGGAGCATAATATAATGGGTTTGTGTAAACCATCTTTGATATTGATATGTTACCTTTACACCATTTATAACATTTATGGTATACATTATTTTTAATTGTTTATACAATAGTTTATATTGTAACAAACAGAATAGAGGAAATTAGCTCTAATATATGTATTATGTATTTAGGTATGCATACTGGTCAGAGAGCTCATCACAAGTCCAAGTCATTAATAAACAAGTGTGTCCCTAAGTGAGGAGAGGCTGTAATAATTTCCTCCTCCTCCTCCTCCTCCTCCTCCTCCTTCTCCTCCTTCTTCTCCTTCTTCTCCTTCTTCTCCTTCTTCTCCTTCTTCTCCTTCTTCTCCTTCTTCTCCTTCTCTCCTTCTTCTCCTTCTTCTCCTTCTTCTCCTTCTTCTCCTTCTTCTCCTTCTCATCTCCCTTCTTCTCCTTCTTCCCTTCTTCCCTTCTTCTCCTTCTTCTCCTTCTTCTCCTTCTTCTCCTTCTTCTCCTTCTTCTCCTTCTTCTCCTTCTTCTCCTTCTTCTCCTTCTTCTCCTTCTTCTCCTTCTTCTCCTTCTTCTCCTTCTTCTCCTTCTTCTCCTTCTTCTCCTTCTTTCCTTCTTCTCCTTCTTCTCCTTCTTCTCCTTCTTCTCCTTCTTCTCCTTCTTCTCCTTCTTCTCCTTCTTCTCCTTCTTCCTTCTTCTTCTTCTTCTTCTTCTTCTTCTTCTTCTCTCTTCTTCTTCTTTCTTCTTTTCTTCTTCTTCTTCTTCTTTCTTCTTCTTCTTCTTCTTCTTCTTCTTCTTCTTCTTCTCTCTTTCTTCTTGCTTCGTCTCTCTCTTCTTCTTTCTTCCTTCTCCTTCTCCTTCTCCTTCTCCTTCTCCTTCTCCTTCTCCTTCTCCTTCTCCTTCTCCTTCTCCTCCTCCTCCTCCTCCTCCTCCTCCTCCTCCTCCTCCTCCTCCTCCTCCCTCCTCCCCTCCTCCTCCTCCTCCTCCCCTCCTCCTCCTCCTCCTCCTCACCTCCCTCCTCCTCCTCCTCCCCTCCTCCTCCTCCCCTCCTCCTCCTCCTCCTCCTCCTCCTCCTCCTCCTCCTCCTCCTCCTCCCCTCCTCCTCCTCCTCCTCCTCCTCTCCTCCTCCTCCTCCTCCTCCTCCTCCTCCCCTCCCCTCCTCCTCCTCCTCCTCCTCCTCCTCCTCCCCTCCTCCTCCTCCCTCCTCCTCCTCCTCCTCCTCCTCCTCCTCCTCCTCCTCCTCCTCCTCCTCCTCCCTCCTCCTCCTCCTCCTCCTCCTCCTCCTCCTCCTCCTCCTCCTCCTCCCCTCCTCCTCCTCCTCCTCCTCCTCCTCCTCCTCCTCCTCCTCCTCCCCTCCTCCTCCTCCTCCTCCTCCTCCTCCTCCTCCTCCTTCATTGTGAATTTATCCAGAACTGGACCTACCCTCCTCTTCTGGTTTGAAGCTGAAAGTCTCCATTTCCACAGGTTCTATATGACCCCTACAGGTTTAGCATAAACATAGTAATAATAATAATAATAGGGATAATATTAATGTAGTACTGTACATATATTAAAGATGGTTAGCATCCAAGGAAAAAAAAAAGCAGTGAAGTTTTTTCCAGTGCTCAACCTTAGTATATTACTAAGTTATTAACACCAGTTAGAGTATGGACAGACTAAGAGCATACATTTCGTTCCCCAAAAACAATACAATTTAGCTTCATCCTATTGCAGGTCAACTTAATTTTTATTTAGTTTTTAATAATCCCAAAGGGAAAAAGGTGAATAAAATTTTGTATTTACACTGTTTTTGTGTAAGACTTGTAGAAATAATTTACACTAGATTTTTGGGGTAAAAATTATTTTTGTTTTTATAAGGCAAGAACTCAATCCTTTCTAAAAATTTATAAAATACTAACTGAAAAAATTTTTGTCTATAAAAATATGACATTGACAAAAAATATATAAATTTATATTTATACTTGACATTATTCAATATGTTTTTTTGGGAAAAACTGTTAATGAAAACCCTTTTCCTTTTTAATTGAAATACTAGAACTAAAAAAATATACTAACTAATTTTTTGTATAGGACGAGTAAAAGGGGGGAATAGAATTGGACTGCGGGGGGCCACCATCCGGGCTTATAAAGAACTGGCACTGCCCCCGGAAACGAGTAGCCTTGGGCACTGGTGAGTGCAGTGGGGTTTTTCTTTAATTATAAACCGCGGGGTGTTGATTATTGTTCTCAGACTCTTTAAAAGGGAATTTTTCTGTTACCATTCATCTGAAAATAGGTTTTAAATTTGGGAAAGTATAAAAAAACATTTGAAGGGCCCCTTGGGTTTTCCGACCCTTTTTGGGGGATAAAAAACTGCGGCAGAGAAAAAGCATTTTATCATCAAATGTGTCTAAAATCCCTAAAATGTACCATCGATAAAAGCCAATACAGCTAGGCCAACAAACAGAAAAAATAAAATAAATACACCATACAACAATACTTAAAATAGTGGTGGTCCCCCTTTCCATTAAAACTGTTGAAATTTAAGGGCAAAAAAACATAAAAGCACCACCATTAAAATTTGGGCTATTGAAACCAACAAAAAGTGCAACACTGAAAAGAAGATGCTGTGTAATTTGGAGCCGTTCTGTATTTTCCTTGTGACAAAGTGGCCAAACAGACCAAAACACAATTTTCGTATACAAAATGGGGGTAATTTGAATAGGTTGTTCTCACTTGTGAGCAAGATTCAATAATTTTTTTTCCCCTTTTTTTTTAGCTTTTTATGCAAAGGTCATGTATTTTACTTAATTTTTATTTTAAAAAAACCCTAGCCTTTAAGGCAAAGGTACATATGTCACATTTTAAAGGAGGGGGGATGTTTGAAACCCCGAAAAAAAAAAAAACCTTATACAATATTGCTCTTGTATTGCAGTATATTTACAGAATTTAGAAATACAATGTTTCTTCTCAAAAAATTTTTTTTTCACGGGATCGACTTTTTTTCAGTTCTTGGCAATTTACGCTGAAGGGGAAGCCACTATTCATCAGCCATTGAGACATTACCCTCATTGCTGAAGCAAAAGGTGTCGACCCCCTAGAAAATACATTTGGAGTACTTGAATCATTACAGAGCGTTACGAAAAAAAATTCATTCATTACTGACTTCAGATTTTTTTTTCTTAAACCATAAAAAAAGTGAAATTTTGTCTTCTCATTCTCTTTTGTAAAAGATAACCCCGGGTGCTATTTTTGTATTTGCAAAAATTCTACCTTTTATCAATTTTTTAAATATTGGCATTTATTACGTAAATTAATTATTACCCTTTTTTTCCCTTTTTATTTAGGGATGAAAAACCACTGAAAGAATTACGCGAAGGGCACAGGCCTGTTCCCCACTTCTTTTTTGCCCGCCACTTTAAAAAGCCAAAAATTCAGAACCAGGTTGCTTAGGCTCAGCCAACGAGGAAGAGCCAACTGCTTGATGGTGATGCTAATTCTCGGCAAAACCAGAGAAACAAGGTGTAGCTTCAAAGAACAGGAACCACAAGGGAATTTCTAAAAAATTGAAATGTAAGGAGCACTTAAAAAATAGATGTCGAGGGGTGCACCAAAAGATTGGATACACATGACTTGTCAAGAAAATTGAGGGGTCGAAAGTAGTCGAAAGGCAGGGCAGCCTTGACAGTAGATCTGATCCAGAAGGGACAGAAAAATCTACTCATTCCCCAGGTTAGCTGGGGCGTATTTCTTACACCATCATAATGTTGTACATCCGGGTTTTCTGGTGTACGCTGGGCTTTTGTGGTACATCCCCCGGGGCTATTGGTTACGTCCTAACTTGCACACCCAAGTTGAGAGACTGGTCTTTTTTGATACTTGTTTGTATTTATGAATATTTTCTGTATATAACGCATACACAGTTTTTTAATTTTAGAATTTTTTAATATATGTGTTTGCTTTAAGGTTTGAGACCAACTAGTTTTTAAAAAATTAACTTTTTATATATCGCATTGTTTGTTAAAACGTTTTTTTTTAAAATTCTGATGTTTTGTTTTAGTATATTCAAATGCTGTACAGTAATTAAAACCCTTTAAACCAAAAAGTTTATTAAAATTTTGGTGTAATTTTTCTCTATTTTCTCTGATTTACTTTTTAAAAATTTAAAAAATTCTTTCTACTTACTATATTTTATAAGTACTGTGTAGAAATTTGTGAAATTTTAGGCTGGGGGGAATTTTATTTTGGTTTTTGTGTAAGCTTATTCCTAAGGGCTTCATGTGACAGTTGAGTAACACATAGTGCCCTCGATGTCTTTTAATAAAACAACACCATTTAAACCCGGGAAAACTGAATACCTTCCATGACATTGCACAGACTTTAAAATTTCCACTGCATAATTTATTTTCAGTTTTTTAGTATTTTGGGGACTTAAACGGTTAAATCCCTGTTTTTTGTTGTAATTCCCAAATACAAATTCTTTCAACATTAAATTAGGGCTATTAAAAAAGGTTTGTTGATAACCGGGGCGTGGGGGTGTTGGCCCCCGAAACCCCTCCATATTCCCAGGTATAATGTCCAAGTACGCAAAGTTGACAGTCTCCAATGATTGTCCTCCTTACATAAACTTACAGGGCCAAAAGTTTTTTTTACCTTATCAGAACAGTAAAACCCCCTTGATAAAAAAAAACAAGTAAAAAGAATCTGTAATTGTTTTACATAAGGGGGGATTCTGGGGGTCTTTTTTCTGTCCATAAAACACGGATAACAGGTAAAATCTTGCCACTTTCCCTTTCCTTATTCACACTACACATTAATAAGTTTATTCAGGTAACACAGATACAAATTACATAATTATCAAAACTAACAATATTGTAAGAAAACCAGGGTCCCCAACCTTTGTCAAACCCTGTGAAAAAAAAAAAAAAAAAAAAAAAAAAGTCAGAGTGATTTTTTTCAATTTACCACATGAAAAAACACACCCACGGGTTCCTTCCCCTTTAAGCCATGCATTTGAAGATCAAATAAAATGCCGGAGCAAGGGGTAAACCCCTTCTTCTGTATAAATTACTGAATTTAAAAAGAAAAACCTTTGTGTTTCTTTTTAGGTCACCCTTCCTCAGTGAGATAAAGCCCCCCGCCTCAAGACTACCCTCTTTGGGCCCTTTAGATCAAAAAAAACGGTTTTTTTTATTTCTGTTCTTTTTTTTCCAGTGGGATTTTTCCCGTTCATTGATTGCCCCTGAAGTAACATTCCTTGATGCTGGTGAAGGGCACTTGATCTAAGGAATTGAACCTGTACTCCAATTCCCTGAATCAAGCCTGAAAGTCTTTCAAATCTTGCAGTGCGTATACCTTTTTTAAAAACGTAAGACAGCACAATTTTCATATGAAACCGTGTGAAGTTACCCTTTTACAGTGACATTTTCTAGCTCTCCCCCCTGCATTTTCTGATGGGTCTTTTCTTCAAGGGGAAGGGGTCCTTTATATTGATAAAAAGCTCTTAAGCTGCTTTCTCTATCTTTGGATAAAATTTTTTCATACTATTTCCAAGATGCAGAAAGGAACTGCTTTGGGCCTACTTTTTGTTTTAACTTTTTCCCGCAATATCTGAACTGTAAATTAATTCTGATGGCCCTGGCGGGGCTGGGGGTTCTTACATCGTTTGAAATGTGGCCCCATTAACACCTGGATATCAGACCCAGGTCCACCACGGGGCCCTAGTCCCCAGGCGGCGCAGGAGGGGTTGCCCCCTGAAACCCTCTAAAAAAGTCTCCAGGTAACCCCTTTTCCCTGCCCCTTCCTTGGTAAACAACCAACCCTTTTTTAATCAAAAAAGGGGGAAGAACTCCCAAAAATTTTTAAGTGCAATTGATGAATAAAATGTACAATAACCTGGGTATTTTATTAAAGAGGTGTTTCCCCCCACTGAGGAATTTATCAGGGAATACCTACATAAAGAACAAGCCTTTTTTAGGAACCCAGTGGAATAACCCGGAGAAAAATTCCCGAACAGTAGAGTGGCCCAAAAGTGAGCAGGGGCCCCCACTATGTGCCTGTTTGTTACATGGGGTTTTTCTTTCCCTGTGCACCATGATGAGGAATCGTCTTTTTGTATGAAGGGGGGGGGAGGAAAACCCCTTTTTTGGTCCCTTATTCAGAAAATTTTTACACTTTCTTCAAATTTTTAAAATTTAGTTTTTTTTCCTTTAATTTTTTTTTTTTAAAATTTTAGGATGCCCGGGGAAGATTGGGCTGCAGGGGCAGTGATCCCCAAAATTTATTAACAAATAACAAACGGGCCTAATTTCTAGTATTCCCCGGAAAAATTTCAGCGTCCCAATTTTTTCTTAACTTTCACTACCCCATTATTGTTACTGTTTCTTTTATTTTTTTATCATCTCTGTCTTCCCTTGGTTTAGCGTTCTTTTTGATTATAATAATAATAATAAAAAATCGGGTTTTGGGCCTGTTTTAAAATCAAAAAAAACTAAAACCTGTAAAGAAAAATAAAAGAAATAATCCATGGCTAGAACAGTTTTTTAAAACCAATCCAAAATTTTAAAAAGAGGAAAATTTCAAAGATTACATTGGTTTGTCCGGGGACTGGTATTAGGTAGAAACTTGGTGGTGGTTTTAAGAGGAAAAAAAAATTTCATATCCCAATTTTCCCTCCCCCAAAATTAAATGGTTAGTTGTGAACTGTAAAAAAATTATTTTTTTTTTTTTTTTCAAACCTGTGGGCCCGTCTCCCCCCGGGCAGGGTGACCCAAAAAAAAAAAAATCCCCAAAAAAAGAAAAAAATTTCATCATAAAAACATTTCACCCCCAACTCGAAAATTAAAAATTGTTTTTGCAAAAGGTGTCAAAACAACATTTTTAAGAAGATACACATATAAAGAAACACAACATATCCCTCCAAATTTCCCAAAATACCCCAAAAACCCCTCCTTTAAAGTGCAGGAAAATTGGGTCCCTTCCCCATTTCCCGGGAATCAAGTCCGACTATAGAAAAAAAAGGGTTTTTCCCCCTGAATCCCTTAAACTAAATTTTAAACCCTTTTGCTCACACCCCAACAGATCGTCAGGCCCCAAGAAACCTTCATCTCCATTCACCCTACTAACATGCCCCACGCACGTTTTGCGGGAAGCCCAAACCCCTTGCCCAAAAAAACCTCCTTTCCCCCCTCCCCTCCAACCCTTTCGGGACCCCCTACCCCCGGCCCCCTTCCTTCCCCTTTTAGTTTTATATGTTTCCCATGTCTTTCCACTTTGACCATTCTCTCAAAAGGGCCCAAACCCCCTCAACAAACCCCTTTTCCCTGCCCTCTGACTAAAAATTTTTTAACTCCACACCTTTTCCAATTTCCCCAATCTAAATTTTCCCTTGCAAATATTTACACCACACTTTTGCCCTTAAACAGGAAATCTCCACGCCTAAAAAGTCCCCTTTCGTGCTGCTTTTAACCCCCCAAGTTTCACACCCATTTAAAAATGTTGGGTACTACAATATTTTTCAAAACTTTCCCCCTTTTTTGCCTCCAAAAGAAAACTTTTTTTTGACCCCAAAAAAATAAAAAACCTCAACGCCCCAACTCCCCTTTTTTTTCCCCTCATAAATTTCTATGATTAACCTCACCCTTTCAAAAATCCACCCGCCGACACTCAACCCCCCCAAGTATTAAAAAACCTTCACTTTTTCCATACTCCTCCTCCCCAAATTTGATACCCCAATTTTTTTTCTTTATCTAAACCCTTTTGGGACCCCCTTTCCATCCCCCTTTACTTTTTTCTGTTTTAAACTTTCAACTTTCTACCTTTTAAAACCACTTTCCCAAACCATCCCAAACCTTTGAAAATTTTTTCTTTAAAGAATCTCCCAAAGGGCACAGATCATCAGAAAAAAAGTAACTGTGTAAATTTCCCCAATTTTGAATTTGTTTCCCCCAAAATTTTAACCCCACCCCTCTCCCGAACCCCCTAGAAATTTACTTCCTTTAAAACCCTCATCTATAAATAATTAAAAAAACCATGGTGACATTACACATCCCTGTCTAAGAAACCCACTTTTACCGGGGGAAATAGTTCCCTTCTTCTACAAAACCCCAACCTGAGCCCCACTTTTCCTCATAAAAAACTCTTTTCAAGCATTTTAAAAACTTCCACCAAATTTAAATTACTTGCGCTTTTGGGCCCCATTTCTCCCCTATCCACTCTTTATATGCCTTTTTTAAATTCCCTTTTAAAAAGCAATTTAAAAAAATTTCCCCACCTTTTTTCTAAATCTTTTTCACCAAAATATGCAAAAAGTAAAAACTTGATCACACCCTCCCCTACCCACTCTGGAACCTCCTTGTCTTCCGCAATCCTACATCTGTCTTACCTCTAATTTTTTTAATTAAAAACCCCCCCATACCTTTTCCCGGTATTTCAGTAAACTTATTCCCCAAAAATTTTTAAAAGTCTATTTTGGGCCCCTTTCCCCCTTTTTAAAAAAAGGGACCCATACATGCTCTCTTCCCAATCCCCAGGGTTTCCTTCCCCTCTTTCCCTAAATTTATTAAAAAAAAAGTACCCAAAACCCCTCCCCAAAACTATATTCCCCCCCTTTTTTCTTTTTTAAAATTTCCCGTCCCTGATCCCAAACAGTTTTCCCGCTGCCTTACCCCCTTTCATTTTACGTAAAGCCTCACTTTCCCCCCCCACAATTACATTTTTTTTTCTTTTTTCACTCCTAAAAGTTTTGGGAAAACCCCTCCAACCAGTGCATTTAAATTACTGCCCCTGTTTCTTCCTTAAAATTTAAAAGTTTCCCCAAAATATTCTGGGCCCTCTTCCTAATACCTTCCCTTTTTCCCCATCTAACTAACCCCCTACTCTTTTTTTTAAATGGGCCCCCTCCCTACTTTCCCCAGGGTTTTTTAACTTTTATTTTTTTCTCATTCCAAAATTTTTTCTTATTTTCATTAAAAAATTTTTGACAGGTTGGGCCTCTCCCACTTTATAAACTGCTCTCCTTTTTCACTCTTCCCCCTCTCTTTACCTTTTTTTTACCCCTCCATTTACTCTGCTCTTCTTGTAAAACTTCTGCCCTTTTTAAAAACCTCTCCCTAAGCTAAACCTTTTTTTTCTTTTATAAACCCTTTTTTCTTTTTATCTTTTCCCCAATCCACCCTCTTTTCCCCCTGCCCCCACCCTCCTATAAAAACCCCCCCCTTTTCCTTTTTTTTCCCCCATTTAATTTCTGGATTTTTAAAAAATATTCCAACCCTCTTCAACCCCCCCCCCCCCTTTTCACTTTGGGACAGCCCACCTTTCTGCCAATTTGTCCGGGTTATATTACCAGAAATTTCCCCCTCCCTTAGTTTAAACACTTTCACCTCCCTCTTTTTTTGTTGGGTTGGGCCCCCTTCTCTTTTCCCATTACCCTTTAATCTAACTGTAGTACAACAAAAATGATCCCATATACATTTTCCCCCCTTTTAAAAATGTTTCATCCTGGAGGGCCCACCCATCAACCTTTTATCCACCAATACATAATCTAATAAACTACTTTCATTACGTGCTACATCATACCTTATCATTGATAAATATGACTCTTGCTTCTCGATGTTATATGGTCTGTCTTAGTAGTTAAAAGCTTTGTTTATCATTCTCGTTATGAATTCGTTTTTTATGTAAAGTATTAAGAATGGTATTAAAAGAATGAATATTTTTTCTTTTATAAATGTTTCATGGATTTATTACAAACTTAATTGTAAATACTGTATACAAAATTTTTGGGAAAAGTTAGTAAAGAAAAATGCATTAAAAAACTGACTGATGATATACAAGGTAATTTTTTGGTTGATTTCAAGAGGAAAAGTGACCAAAAGTTCACTTAAATTACATCTGGTATAGGAAAAATATAGTACTGATATTTATGGTGTACTTTTGACAGGTTTTAAAGGAGGATAAAAAGGCAAGGTTCTCAAAAGACAAAAAAGATAACTTCCTGGGACCTCACAACTCCAAGGCAAAAATTGTTACTCTCTTAATTAAAGGAATGGTTAACCCAGTAAGTATCCAGATGTTTGTTGTTGTCATGTATCGTGTTTTGTTTTTTGGAATCCATATTATCATTGTCCAGGCTGTGGTGTTCGAGTTAATGGAGAGGTCATTTTAAACACATCTGATAATTCTCACTATGGTAGGATATGTTAGCTTTAAATGAAACTGCAGAAGCTATTATTTGTCCTCTGCCCTTTTATAAGTACTAATATCATTTGTAAATTTGACTCAATGCTCTTCAAGGGAATGTCTTGTACCCAGTGAAGAGTTCTTGATCTGAGGAATTGGAGGTACCATCCCATTCCTAAGGTATTGTATGACCCCTGTGGGCTCAGTGCCTTCCTATAAATATGGTAAGTAATAATAATGATGTCTCATCAACAGGAACATAGAAAAAAAGTGGAGGAGGAATTAGTGAGAGTCCGAGGCCTCATTAGCATTGTGTTTGACCTGGGGAATTCCCGTGTGACCTGCAGAGTAAAGCGTGACTTGTCAGTGGAAAAATTAGCAGCTGCTGTAGCACGCACAGAAACTCTGTTAGCCCAGCAGGTTACCACAAATTCTGATGGTGAAGAGGTAAGTTCATTGTTAAATTTAATATTTACAAAAATTTGCATGTAGTATACCTTAAAGATTAAGAGTGTATTGTATTTCAGGTTTCAGTCAGTCTGTCAGTCCACTCTTTTAGAAGAAAGTTTTTAAACCCTTAAAATGTGCACAGGTCGAACCCTTGACAGTTTTGTTGTGCGCAGTAATTTGAAAAAAAAAATATTTAGAAAATTATAAATTGTATATATCTGATACAGTGTTAAACAAACATATTTTTCTTCATTTGTGAGAATATATATATATCTTATTTTTCTAGGAAATTATACCATTAGGAAAAACAGCAAAAGATACGACTTCTCCAGTTGAAGAGCTGCCAGACTACCTGCCAGAGGAAGACACACCAGTGAAGGATGCATCATCGGCCATGGCTCCCACGGGAAGCTTTGCGGAAACTGCTGCAACATGGCTCTCCACTGCCAGTAACCTCCTTCAGAAGTCCTTCTATTGGTGACTGTGTACAGGAATATTATACAGTGGACCCCCGGTTAACGATATTTTTTCACTCCAGAAGTATGTTCAGGTGCCAGTACTGACCGAATTTGTTCCCATAAGAAATATTGTGAAGTAGATTAGTCCATTTCAGACCCCCAAACATACACGTATAAACGCACTTACATAAATACACTTACATAATTGGTCACATTCGGAGGTAATCGTTATGCGGGGGTCCACTGTATATTGTTTCTTCTCTCATTTTGTTTCTCCTGCAGTATAACATAAGTTACATGTAACAAACCACCCACTCAAATGTTTGGACATGGAGTGATGAGCCAAAAAATAGAATTATGAAATAGTGCACAGCATACAAATAAGCACAGTACATACAGTAAAACTCCTAAATTCATTAATTTTTTAATGCATGCTTTGAATATAGTATTGTGTTTCTAAAGGGCATCTCGATAATTTTTTGTGGTACCAATTCATTTTTGGTTTAATGTGACCACAGTCTCTGAATCAACAACTAATCATTGGAGTTTCTTCAGACTGTGCTCGCTATATTTTCCATACTCGGCTCTCTCTCTTTTTTTTTCTAGTCTAGGCATTATTTCTTATGAATGTCAGCATTAACCAGATTAGTGATAGAGATATGAAATGCAAAATAACAGCAAATCCAAAACAAAATTTGTTATATGCATACAGAATTTTGAATTCTCGAGGGCCTCTAGGACACTTGTGAATTTAGGTCTTTGTATATTTGGTGCTCAATTGTATTATTAAGAAGGGATTACTGATTTAGGTGATTTTCATAAAAGAATCTCTGAATGAAAAAAGTTCCAGAGAAAACTTCAGTTTGTTCTTTCGAATTTTGTAAATGTTGATAACTGCAGTTCAGTATGCAAAAATGATTCAAGGAATCTTTCATTCAGGCACTAGGACAGTGTCAATTGTGAAATGTACAGTTTGATGGCATTTAGATATTGGTGCTTAGAAAAATACAATGTTTTGCACTGTAGAAAAGCTGACATTTTCATGCAAGATTATTTGCATTTTATTGTAATAGCTCATTTTGGTGTTATTGCAGTCATCTGTTTGCACGTGTATGTTATGTGTGGTCTGTGAGACAGAATTAGATAATCACAGCTTTTAGTATGTACTTACTCTTAAAGATTACAAACCTTTCAAGGTTAACATACAGAGGATTATCCTAATTGTTTAGTGTGGAAATTTCTTTGTCACATACAGCACAAGACTTCAATTGATAGCTTTTACATTAACATGGAGGTGTATTACCATTAATATTATGGTATTGCATGTAGTATTACTGTATAATGGTGGCTGCATTGCTTCTTATATTAATAATACTGAATATTATGTTCATTTTAGAAATTTACATAGGTGTAGATTTAATTTTAGCAGCTGGTATATTACTTGCCAATATACTCAGGGTAGGAATAAGATATTTGTAGGAAACTACTGTGAATATATTATTTTTTAAAAATGTATGATTTTGTGTACTGTACTGAATGTACATGTTCATTGATTTCACAAAAACATAGAAATTGGCAGTTTTATAAGTGGGGAGCTACCTAGTAAGCAGATGTATCAGGTTCCCAGTGAGAAAATCCCTGAGGGATTTAATAATTCTTTGGAGTCCTAAATTGTCAGAACAAGAAAACTTGTCTATTGTATAAAGATTTGTGTGTCATGGATCCCTGGCCCACTGAAGAAACCTGTTTTGACTACAGAGATACATGTTTTGTATGTCTCAGAGCAGAAATCATTTTATTGGCATTACAAAGCAAAGACTGGAATCTAACAAAAAGTTCATAGGGTCCCAGAAAAATCATCCAGACTTTCAAGCATCTCATATTCATTATTAACTTCAATACGGTAGTCCCCCAGTGTCCAAATCCAGTGTCTGACATCATTACAAATTCTGTAGATAATTAAAACAAGTGCAATCCCTTAATACAGAAAAAAACAAAAAAATAGTATATTTCATGTACAGTATTTGCTTCTCTACAATAGTTTCAGCATGGATATGTATGGTACAATTATCATATGTTCTTTACAATAATACAGATATCTTTTGTACATGAGAAAACCAGTTGCTGGTGTGCCTATCACAGTGTGACTTATTATTGTACTTGTGAGGACGCACTAAATTCATATCAGTCATACAGTGACTGGAGAATGGGAGATAATTAGGAAGGGTAGCTCCAGTTTCTTAAGTCAAGAAACCTTATCTGGTATTGCAACATCCTCTGGAAGAGACAATGTGAGGTAGGTGATAAAATAATGTTGGGGCAACATGCCCATGGATAATGTACCCTCTTTAATGCTTCTTTCTATTAGTTATATTGCCAGGGGTATTACAATCATTTTGCATGTACATGATATTACAGATACACAGATTTAGTACTTTTCATGGATAAAATAATAATAATATATCATGAATGTGTGGGTTTAGCACTTTTTGTTAAGAAATTAATAATAGAATGATAGGAGATAATATTATAAATACTACTCTTCATCACTTTCCATTAAATGCTTTTTCAGAGTATGTCGAGAATGTCTGAAAACAAGTGCTGGTAAGTGTGAGAGAAAGTGCATGGGAAAGGTGAAAGGATGGAAAGGATGCTCATGGATAGTGGCTGGTGTACTAAATAGGGATGTTAAAACTTTGCAGTTTCATTGGTACATTTAAAGATGAGTTAAATATTGATGTATGGAAAGTCAAACCCTAAGTATATGCGGGAATCGTGATGATTTAGTTTTCTTCGATCGGGTCTTTTATAGAGTAAACCTTTCCTCCAGTTCATGTTTGTGATATTGCTCCTGCCTTGATTGTAGACCCAAAAATAGGTACATTCCTTTATATCCTCTGTATCCATCCATGTCAGTAGGTTATATCATTCTGAAATACCATTAATGTATTTTTATATGTATTTAAATTTTATTTTTATATTTGGCAGTAATTTACATTAAATCAGACAGTAAAATTTCTTAATCTAAAATATAAGAAATACTTAAAAGCTTTATGTATATTTTATATTTTAAGAGTTGAAAAAAAAGTTATTTGGTACAGAATTTAATTTTGTTAAATAATAACAAACTATAAAGTTTTGTACTGTATCTTAATTGTAATGTGTTGAAAATATGCAAATACTGTTTGATAAATGAGTCCTGGACGTTTTGTTTTATACAGGAACCTGTATAAGTTATTCAGAGCAGTTAAAATGTTTCCATCACTATGTTTCATAGTGTTGAGTAATACTGTATACTGAAGACTGGCATCACATTGTGTACAAAGAATTATGCACATCCAAATCATGGAACAGGTGAGGGTTCAAGACCCACCAGTTCCACGATTTGTTGACAATTATGTTAGGATTTCATGAGTCTTGATTATACATCCATTGTGGCTCCTCAATTTATATTCTTATTTAATGCTAAACATAACTATTTGTGTAAGAATAAGTTCACAAGTGTGTGTTGAAGGCAGGATGAAAGCATAAATACATAGAAAAACTTTAGGCATTCAGTGTGTTAGTGTTGTGTCGAATAGGTAAAACTTGCGATTTTGGCTTAAATAGCAACACTTCTTGCCAAATTAGGCAAGTGAAAATTTGTGTTTGCAGTAATTTTGCAAAAATCATTCTGAACCTAACCAAAAAAAATATATTTCATCATGTTTGTTTATTATTAATTACATATTGTCAACTTATCTAAAGTTGACCAATTTTACCTATTCGGCATGACATTGATGTGAATTGGTTTAATATGGTGTCACGTTTTAGAGTACAGGAGAGTCCTATCATGTGAGCATCCAAGGATACACACATATGAACTTACAAATGGGGCACTTTGTAAACAAAAAAATTCTACAGCCACCAAGCCACAGTATGAGAATGTCTGAAGCAAACCAGTCCTTTCTGCTGTTGTTGAAAAATCAGTATCAGTGTAGCTTGTCAAAGCATAGCTATTTATCTTTTTGTTATTTCAGTTTTATGTATAGTATTTTAACCCTTTGAGGGTCGACAGGCCCTCTCAGAAACTCATTCTCAGGGTCGGCCAAATTTAAAAAAAAAAAAAATTATTTTTTTCTTATGAAAAGATAGAGAATCTTTTCCCGATCATAATGACACCAAAATTATGTGATTTGATGGAAAACTTACGGAATTATGCTCTTGCAAAGTTAGCGGTCACTGCGATGTTTACGCATCGGCGATTTTGCCCAATTTGAGCCCCATTTTCGGCCAATTCCTCTGTACTAGTCGACAAAAAACATGAATATTTAGCTAAAACTACATTTTTTCTATTGAATGAGTACAAGAAACCACCCATTTACCATTTTCAACTATCCAATACAGTGGTCAGAATTTAGCAATTTTGCCAATTTCACACAAATTTCAAAAAATGCCAATTTCCGAATAGGGTCCAGAACAAACAAGAAATACATTCCTGGCACTAAAATGACATTTCTTCTGTTCATTAGTCACGTCTCAAGGCCCCTTTTACATTCTTTTGCTTTCCACTTTGAATTTTTATTCTCACGAAAAATAGAAGATTTACTGTTATGCAGACTACTGCATTAGTGTAAAAAATTATATAAATCATATTGGCGCACTTGCAAAAGAATGTTAGACTCACCATTTGACGTGTATTGGACGCTTGGCATGATTTGTTTACTTTTGAACTTTGGTAAAAATCGAACATTTCTCCTACTTTGAGCTCAATTTCAAGGTATTTTTCATTGTAAAACCAGTGAAAATCATCTCAATTTCTGTGAAATGCATTCAATTCTATAAAATGAGACCAGGAAAACTAGAATACAACAATAAATACCATACGAAAATACAGAGCAAAGTCGCTGTTTTATGCCAAAAAAACGGTGAAAGTTTTTTTTTTCTCATTATGCACTGTATGCTGCAGGATTTTTTTTATACTGTGCATACTGACCACATAGACCCATTCTTTCATATGGAGGCCTACCAGCCTTTTCCTGCGAGATTTGATGGCGCTAGAATTTATGCGTACTAGTACACGTACGTCAAAAACCCCTGCGCGTAAGACGTACTAGTACGTCCGAAACCCTCAAAGGGTTAAGGGAGCTATTCACTTCACTATTAATTTAATGAATAACATATTTAAATCCAGCCTACAAGAATATACGTGTACAAGTAGATGTGCACAGATATTCACATATGTGTATGTGAATACAGGATTATATACACAAATTCCTTACTAACATAATTATATGTTTCTGAGGCAAATTATCATGTTATTGGTGAATTTGTGAAGCAAGTTATCATTGATACAGAATTTGTGATTATTATTTACAAATGAAAAAAAAAAAAAAAATCAGATATTGTTGATGGAAGGAATGTCAAAAGATTTTTATCCTTTAAAGGGAAGGACAAGAAGGTTCATTCATAATAGTGGAAGCCTTCTAATATGAGGAATTGGAGCTAGCTTCTCTTGTATCAGACTTGATTACCTCCACCCTGCCCAGTATCCAGGTTTGGCATTTCCTCATAGTAATATCAGTAATAGTTATTATAAAAAAAAAAGGTGAGTGGTATATGTGGAGACAAAAAACGTTATCTATGGAGGCAAAGAAGAGAATGTATGAAAGTATAGTAGGACCAACACTCTTATATGGGTGTGAAGCTTGGGTGGTAAATGCAGCAGCGAGGAGACGGTTGGAGGCAGTGGAGATGTCCTGTCTAAGAGCAGTGTGTGGTGTAAATATTATGCAGAAAATTCGGAGTGTGAAAATTAGGAGAAGGTGTGTAGTTAATAAAAGTATTAGTCAGAGGGTTGAAGAGGGGTTGTTGAGGTGGTTTGGTCATTTAGAGAGAATGGATCAAAGTAGAATGACATGGAGAGCATTTAAATCTGTAGAGGAAGGAAGGCGGGGAAGGGGTCGTTTTGTGGGCGCGGGGCTTGGACTTCCAGCAGGCGTGCATGAGCGTGTTCGATAGGAGTGAATGGAGACGAATGGTATTTGGGACCTGATGATCTGTTGGAGTGTGAGCAGGGTAATATTTAGTGAAGGGATTCAGGGAAACCGGTTATTTTTATATAGTCGAACTTGAGTCTTGGAAATTGGAAGTACAATGCCTGTGCTCTAAAGGAGGGGTTTGGGATATTAGCAGTTTGGAGGGATATGTTGTGTATCTTTATATGTATATGCTTCTAAACTGTTGTGTTCTGAGCACCTCTGCAAAAACAGTGATTATGTGTGAGTGAGGTGAAAGTGTTGAATGATGATGAAAGTATTTTCTTTTTGGGGATTTTCTTTCTTTTTGGGTCACCCTGCCTAGGTGGGAGACGGCCAACTTGTTAAAAAAAAAATAATGAAAATAAAATATAATTCTCAGTTACTATGGGCTCTTTGATTATAGCTGTATAGGGTGAAGCAAAATGTATTAGTTTGAGATGTTGCTTCTATAAAATAAAGTCATTGTTATGTCTTGGAACACTCATCTATAAACACTTATAAGCTAGTTTTTAAAAAGTTGTTTTTCAGAATGAAACAAGTTTTTAATTAAAAAAGTCTCATGTATTCATCAAACCATTTTTCGTTGAAGTTGTGCATAAGTTGGACTAATAGTAATTGTTAGAATGTGAACCTGAGGATAGGTGCAGTAAATTAACTGAAGGAAACTGCTGGAGGTTCATAGTGATTCTGACTATTGGCATCTTGAAGAGCAAGACGACTGAGAGAAACATCTATAGAGAAACATCTGGAGCTTGCTTTGTTTTGTCGACATGTACAATGTATGCTTGCTGAGGTTATTACGTTATATATAATAGTTATTGATAGAGCTAGTCTCTTGCTGCTGTAATTAGCCAGCCCATTTCTTAAGATCATTTCAGAATTGTGGGAAATGAGACAGGTCCTTTGATGACCTTTTTTTGTGATGAAAATTATTACTAGTAAAGTGTATCTCTGATAAATGTTTCAGGCCTACCCTGTATAGGTGTTGCTGAATGCACCAAGGAATTTTCTTTTGCAATAATGCAGAGAATAGTGTTTGTTATCTTTCATGTAATATGCATCCACAGGATTACAAATTGTGTAGATAACTTTAAGTACAATGTTTGATGTTATTCCCCTGAGTGTATGACCCATCACTTGCTCATACTCTTTATCACAACTTTTAACCATTCCACTTGCCTTTGAATGTTTACAGCATTCCATAAATATTAACAGGAGATTTTGTTATCTAATGTTCAGTTACAAACTCTGATATGTACATAGTTATATTTTAATGGATAAATAAATGCCACAGAAATCTTCATTGGTTTTCTTAACATTTTTCTTGCAACATTAATACTGACATGATGTTATTTATTTTGACAAAAAGATTCAAAAAATAATAAAAATCATTTTACAAAAATGCAAAAATAAATTATAGAAAATTACATTAAAAACAAACCAGTGTCATCCTGGTTCATTACACGAGCCCACCAGGCCGGGCACATGACAGAGCATAATGCTACTTTATCATCACATTAATGTGGGTTTATTCCTTCAAGGGGATGCTCTCATGGTGAAGGGCCCTTGATCAAAGGATATGGAGTTACCCTCTCCTTGGATAAAATGTAATTACTACCTACGTTCCCTGAGTATTGTGGGAACTGCAAGTTTATTGCTTTCGTATGACTGCAATAAAAATAATAATACTATAATAATAGAGGTAGGAACATTTTCCCATGATGGATAAGTTATAGATGTTTCCAGGATGTATACACCTGGTTATAATGGCAGCGAGTAAACCTGATTGTCTTGCCCCCAGGGTTGATTCATCACCGCCCCTTCCTTGCTGTCTTGCTCACTACACTCACACATCCTTTCTCAATACACTAACAACACATTCTTACCCACTACACTCACACATTATTTCCCAATACACTAAAAATACATTCTTGCCCACCACACTCACACATTCTTTCTCAATATACTAAAAACACATTCTTGCCCACTACACTCACACATTATTTCCCAATACACTAACAATATATTCTTGCCCACCACACTCACACATTCTTTCTCAGTATGCTAACAACACATTCTTACCCACTACACTCACATTCTTGCCCAATACACTCACATTTTTGCCCACTACATTTGCATTTACATTAACCTATATATATATATATATATTTTTTTTCAACAAGTCGGCCGTCTCCCACCGAGGCAGGGTGACCCAAAAAGAAAGAAAATCCCCAAAAAGAAAATGCTTTCATCATCATTCAACACTTTCACCACACTCACACATAATCACTGTTTTTGCATTGTATCAATCGCATCTGCTAGAAAAATGACAGGATGGATAATGAGAACCTTCAAAACTAGGGAGGCCAAGCCCATGATGACACTCTTCAGGTCACTTGTTCTATCTAGGCTGGAATATTGCTGCACACTAACAGCACCTTTCAAGGCAGGTGAAATTGCTGACCTAGAAAATGTACAGAGAACCTTCACGGCGCGCATAACGGAGATAAAACACCTCAATTACTGGGAGCGCTTGAGGTTCCTAAACCTGTATTCCCTGGAATGCAGGAGGGAGAGATACATGATTATATACACCTGGAAAATCCTAGAGGGACTAGTACCGAACTTGCACCCGAAAATCACTCACTACGAAAGCAAAAGACTTGGCAGACGATGCACCATCCCCCAATGAAAAGCAGGGGTGTCACTAGCACGTTAAGAGACCATACAATAAGTGTCAGGGGCCCGAGACTGTTCAACTGCCTCCCAGCATACATAAGGGGGATTACCAACAGACCCCTGGCAGTCTTCAAGCTGGCACTGGACAAGCACCTAAAGTCGGTTCCTGACCAGCCGGGCTGTGGCTCGTACGTTGGTTTGCGTGCAGCCAGCAGCAACAGCCTGGTTGATCAGGCTCTGATCCACCAGGAGGCCTGGTCACAGACCGGGCCGCGGGGGCGTTGACCCCCGGAACTCTCTCCAGGTAAACTCCAGGTGCTCAGAATACAACAGTTTAGAAGCATATACGTATAAAGGTACGCAACATATCCCTCCAAACTGCTAATATATATATATATATATATATATATATATATATATATATATATATATATATATATATATATATATATAAATATATATATATATATATATATATATATATATATATATATATATTATATATATATATATATATATATATATATATATATATATATATATGTTGGTGTCTTTTGTCTGTCTCATAAACATGCAAGATTTCAGGTATGTCTTGCTACTTCTACTTACACTTAGGTCACACTACACATACATGTACAAGCATATATATACACACACACCCATATAAAATACTGCGTGGAATAGACAAGGTGGACAAGGACAGGATGTTCCAGGGAGGGGACACAGAAACAAGAGGCCACAATTGGAAGTTGAAGACACAAATGAGTCAGAGAGATAGTAGGAAGTATTTCTTCAGTCATAGAGTTGTAAGGCAGTGGAATAGCCTAGAAAATGACGTAGTGGAGGCAGGAACCATACACAGTTTTAAGACGAGGTTTGATAAAGCTCATGGAGCGGGGAGAGAGAGGGCCTAGTAGCAACCGGTGAAGAGGCGGGGCCAGGAGCTAGGACTCGACCCCTGCAACCACAAATAGGTGAGTACAAATAGGTGAGTACACCCCTCTGGATTTTCTTCTATTTTCTTTCTAGTTCTTGTTCTTGTTTATTTCTTCTTACCTCCATGGGGAAGTGGAACAGAATTCTTCCTCTGTAAGCCATACGTGTTGTAAAAGGCGACTAAAATGCCAGGAGCAAGGGGCTAGTAGCCCCTTCTCCTGCACATATTACTAAATGTTAAAGGAGAAACTTTCGTTTTTCCATTTGGGCCACCCTGCCTCGGTGGGATACGGCCGGTGTGTTGAAAGAAGAAAGAATATATATATATGATGGGAGTAGGTTGGTAGACAGCAACCACCCAGGGAAGTACTACCGTCCTGCCAAGCGAGTGTAAAACGAAATCCTCTAATTGTTTTACATGATGGTATGATTGCTGGTGTCCTTTTTTTCTGTCTCATAAACATGCAAGATTTCAGGTGCGTCTTGCTACTTCTACTTACACTTAGGTCACACGACACATACATATACAATCATATATATACACACATATATATATATACATACATACAAAGGCGAAAGGAGGAAAGAGAGGGGATGGAGAAGACAGACAGGAGATCCCAGACCCAGGAAGAAGATCAAATACAGCCTCCCTCACAACTTCCTATAGAAGCCTCCCAACCAGGTCAACTCCAATGCAACCAAACACTCTAAACCAAAACACCCATGCCACATCGAATGTCCCTACCCACTGCATTACAAACTCCACCCCCACAGCAACCGCCCATAGTTCCTTATCAGGTCTCCCACCTCCCCAACCCCAATAAACCTCCAAGACCACAGTCTTAGAAAAGAATTGGAAGGTGTGGTATACAAATGCAGATGGAATAACAAATAAGTATGAGGAGTGGCACGAAAGAATCAAGGAGACATCCCCAGACATAATAGCACTCACAGAAACAAAACTCACCAGAATAATAACAGATTCAATCTTTCCATCAGGATATCAAATCCTCAGGAAAGACAGAGGGAGGAGAGGGGGAGGAGGAGTTGCACTGCTCATTAAAAACCAGTGGGGTTTTGAGAAAATGGAAGGAATGGATGGCACGGGCGAAAGGGACTACTTAGTAGGAACAATCCAGTCTGAGGGACATAAGGTGATAATTGCAGTAATGTACAACCCACCACAGAACTGCAGGAGGCCAAGAGAAGAATATGATGAGAGCAACAGAGCAATGGTCGACACACTAGCCGAGGTGGCCAGGAGAGCACACATGGGGGGAGCAAAGTTACTAGTTATGGGTGACTTCAATCACAAGGAGATTGACTGGGAAAACCTGGAGCCCCATGGGGGTCCCGAAACATGGAGAGCCAAGATGATGGATGTGGTACTGGAAAACCTCATGCATCAACATGTTAGAGACACTACAGGAGAGAGAGGAGAGGATGAACCAGCAAGACTGGACCTTGTATTCACCTTGAGTAGTTCGGACATCGAGGATATCATGTATGAAAGGCCCCTGGGAGCTAGTGATCATGTGGTTCTGTGCTTCGACTACATAGTTGAGCTCCAAGTGGAGAGAGTAGCAGGAATAGGTTGGGAAAAACCAAACTACAAAAGGGGGAACTACTCAGGCATGAGGAACTTCCTTCAAGACATTCAGTGGGAGAGGGAACTGACAGGAAAACCAGTACAAGAAATGATGGAGTATGTGGCAACAAAATGCAAGGAGGCAGAGGAGAGGTTTGTTCCCAAGGGAAACAGAAATAATGGGAAGAACAAAACGAGTCCTTGGTTCACCCAAAGGTGTAGGGAGGCAAAAACTAGGTGTACTAGAGAATGGAAAGGGTACAGAAGACAGAGAACTCAGGAAAATAAAGAGATTAGCCAAAGAGCCAGAAACGAATATGCACAGATAAGAAGGGAGGCTCAGCGACAATATGAAAATGACATAGCATCAAAAGTCAAGACTGACTGACCCGAAGCTGTTGTACAGCCACATCAGGAGGAAAACAACAGTCAAGGACCAGGTAATCAGACTGAGGATGGGTGATGGGGAATTCACAAGAAACGACCGAGAGGTATTTCAGGAGCTCAACACGAGATTTAAAGAAGTATTTACAGTGGAAACCAGTAGGACTCCAGGAAATCAGAACAGGGGGGTACACCGGCAAGTGCTGGATGAGGTACATATAACCAAGGAGGAGTGAAGAAGCTGCTATGCGAACTTGACACCTCAAAGGCGGTGGGACCAGACAACTTCTCTCCGTGGGTCCTTAAAGAGGGAGCAGAGATATTGTGTGTGCCATTAACAAAGATCTTCAACACATCATTTGAAACTGGGCAACTCCCTGAGGTATGAAAGATGGCAAATGTAGTCCCAATTTTTAAAAAGGGAGACAGACATGAAGCACTAAACTACAGACCTGTATCACTAACGTGTATAGTATGCAAGGTCATGGAGAAGATCGTCAGGAGGAGAGTGGTGGAGCACCTGGAAAGAAACAAGTGTATAATTGACAACCAGCACGGTTTCAGGGAAGGAAAATCCTGTGTCACAAACCTACTAGAGTTTTATGACAAGGTAACAGAAGTAAGACAAGAGAGAGAGGGGTGGATCGACTGCATTTTTTTGGACTGCAAGAAGGCCTTCGACACAGTTCCTCACAAGAGGTTACTGCAAAAG